CCTCACCCAGCTGAGGGGCGAGTGGAGAGAAAATAAAAGTTGCCGAACACAGCAGACATGAAGACAGCAGAGGTGTGGACCGTCTGTCTAGGCCCCACCGCAGGCGGCACCAGACGCCAGTCCATCCGCCAGTTTTGCTCCCCACTCTGTGACGGTGTGTAATGGAGGCCAGAGGTTCCAGTTCCGACCTGGAGCACACCCTTCTCTTGGAGGCCGGCCGAGCCGGGGCCTTACCTACTAACGACCTCGCTGGGCCAGCAGAAGTGGCCAAGCTCCGGCTGCGCTCCGAGGCCGCTGAGCCAGGAGCCTGCAGAGACAGGAGGGGCACCCGGGCTCAGGGCCCCGCCAACAGAGCTCAAAGCCCCAGCGATCTGGGGAGAAGCCGCTTCATGCACCTCCGTGCGCGAGCTGCCCTGGACCCAGCCGAGGGACTTCAGCCCAGTCCACTTTCTCTGCCCCCAACCTGCTTCTCAGCCAGTAAATTTAACGCCTTTGTTCTCAACCCCATCCTTAAAAAGCCTACATAACCTATTGCAGTTCTTTAAAAAAAAAAAGAAAGAAAGAAAGAAAAAGACTTATTTACTTATGCATCAAAGAATTGGGTGCAGGCCAGAGATGTGTGGGTGACAGGAGAGCAGGACAGGAGGATGTACTGAAACACACTGCTGAGGGAGCTGCGGGGAGACAGGAGGGGTCTGCTGCGGCCTGGGGGTCCCTCCCAGCTACAGTGGCTGCTGACAGCTTCCTATCCTGAGTTAACCCCTGCGCCACCAGGGTGTCCCTTACGCAGTTCCTAAGGGGAGGCAGATTTGAGTTTATCTCCTGTTTCTTTGCCAAGTGGTTTGAAACAAAGCTCCTTTCTTTTTTCAAAACCTTGTTTGTTGCCATCTCCATTCCTGTGAGCCGCTGGGTGGGGCCATTGTGGGGGAGGCCAGGAAGGGCCACTCAGCCTCTGCTTTGTCAGGCAGGTCAGCGTGGTGGGGAGTCCTGCTGTCGGGAACAGCACCGGCAGGGTCCTGGAGAGGCCGGCGGTCCTGAGAGGGGCAGAGTCTGCCCCTGTAGCTACATGGCAGGGGTGCTGGGCAGAGTAAACATCTGTTCCCCAAGGCCTTATGGGCTGGGGTGGGGCTGTGGCTTCCACCTCTTGGGAGGGGCCAGTGGAAATCACCTGGCCCCTGGGTGGGGACAGAGAGCCAGGTCTCCCCAGAGTCCGGCTGCAGGGAAGGAAGGCCCTGCTCAATCAGTGTGAGTGGATAGGGAAGGCGGGGAGTCTTGTTTGTGGGGAAACTTCTGGTCTCCATGCCAACCCTCCATTCATTTAGCAGTTGGCAGATAAGGCCTAGCCCCTCATTACCTGGCACCCTGCCTCTGCCCCAGCCCAGCTTGCTCTGAGCATTTTGCAAACATTTATTTCAGCCCATCTTAGAGCTCTAGGCCGAAATACTGAGGTGAAATGATAACATGTTGGGGGTCTCTTTGAGTTTCATAGGGAAGGGAGAGGTAGAGATAAAGTATTGATGCAAAAAGCCAGGCTGTATGACTTGAGAGAGTTGAATCCAGACCGACACATAGTAAGTTTACTATGCTGTTTATAATATGGTCCTTTAAATGTGTGTGCAAGAGTTTTTGTTTTTTTTTTTTTAAAGATTTATTTATGCATACAGAACTGGGGTACAGGCCAGAGGCTCAGGGGCGGTGAGAGGACTCACCAGAGACATAGCGGGGAGCAGAACAGGCAGATCTACGAAGTACACTGCTGAGGGGAGCAGCGGGCGGGTCAGGAGAGGTCTGCCGCGCCATGTGGTCACCTCCGGGGCAGGGATCGAACTTCACACTGAAGCAGCTGCGGCCGGCTTGCAGTGCTGCGCCTTAACCCACTGTGCCACCAGGGAGGGCCCGTGTATTTTTTTCAATGGTGAAGTTCAATTCGGAAATTCATCCTCCTTTTGAATTCCCAGCAAATCAGTCTCTCTAAGTGCTTTTCAACTCAGAGTGCAGTGGTCTCGGCGGGCAGGGGCAGGCGGAGAGGGCAGGCTGGGCTAAGCTGCCACTTGCTGCTGGTGGAGTGGGAGTGGGAAGAGGCCCTCCTCCCCCGACCAGCAGGGCCACAGGCGGGTGCCAGAGGGCAGAGTTAGGAGCCAGGGGATTTTCAGGGGCACTGCCCAGGGGGATTTGGACTGCCAGGGGCATCTGCTGGCCTGGGCATGGCCGCCGGGGGCTGCTGCTCCTCTGGCCGATGGGGAAGGGCTGAGTTCAGGGCCTGACACCCCCTGGCGCCCTGTCTGGCCACCCTGAGTGCCAGCTGCCCTGGCGCCACGGGAGAGCGCCGGCCTCTGTGTGGCTGCAGGCTGGAGCTGCACCCTCACCCGCCTGCCCAGTATTTGCTCCAGGGCTCAGCCCGTCAGCTCTACCCCACATCCTCTGTCCAGGGCTCCTGGGGTCCCGCCTGGGCATAGGGCCACACACAGTCCTCTGTCCCACACACCATTTGTGCTGAGGGTATAACGGGGGTCCATAGTGGGTGCTCTGGAAACTGACAGGCTGGTCCAGCTCCTGTTCCCGGGGAAGCTGACGGCCCTCCAGCAGCAGCGGCTCTGGCGTGAGGAGTGTGTCCAGTGCACCCTTCGGGCCCAGGCCCAGGCCCAGTGTAGATGGCCGCGGTCCCTCGCCCCAAGAATGTTGTTTCCTGAGCCCCTTCTGTGAGGAGGGGATTCTGTAGATGTGTCCCAGGTCCCAGCTGGGCCTGCCCGCTCCAATGGTCACCTCCCAGGGCCATCTAGGGGCCAGTGGCTGCCGAGTCTGCAGCCGAACCGCAGGGATCAGAGCTGGGGCAGCTCCTTGAGCTCTGCTCCCAGTCCCCTCCCGGGCCAAGTTGGCAGAGGGGGGTGTCAGGATCCCCAACACAGTATTCAATGGCAATTGTTGAATGGAAGTAATCAGTGTTTTCTAAAAATCTCTGATTCCAAGAATTCCCAACTCTTCCTACAAGCAGATTCCCAGGCCCGGCCCTGGACACTACAGGTCTGGGGCCCTGGGATCAGCCTTTTAACCGGCAAATGGACAGCAGTGGTTTTGGGACCAGTGGCCCCTGCAGAGGCCTGGCCCTGTAGGCAGGTGCGGCCTTCTCGTGGTGCGGGCCTGCTGGGCCCCGACCTGGCCCTGCTATCACAGCCTGAGGCCGGCTGAACAGTCAGCAGCGTGAGAGAAGGACCCTGTTTGCGCGGTGACCTCCAGGTGGCAGGATCTGTGGCTGTTTCTCAAGGGACCCCTAAGCCAAAGGCCAAAAAATGACAGTTTGTCCCCAAGTGGGGCTTCCAAGGGGGATTTCCTACCTCAACTGCCCTGGGGGGGCACACTGAGCCCCAGCTTAACAGATGTCAACAGCTGGTGACTCGTGGGCTCGGAGGAAAAGCCCCTAAAAGATTTGCAGGTGTCCGTCCTCCACCTGCCTGCTGCTGCGATTCCACCCCCCCCCCCCGCAGCAACCCCCTCTACCCCCCCCGCTGTCCATGAGCTGGAGCCAGTAGGGGGGTGGCGTAGGGCACCCCCACCCCGCAGGGGCGGCAGCGGTGGCAGTGGGTGTTGGTGAGGGTGCAGAATCCCCACCCCGGCCGGGCCCCTGACTCCTGAAGGTGTCCTCTGTGCCCCTGCACACACCGGGACCTTCTGTGGGGTCAGTTCAGGAATGGTTGGGTGCTCACCCAGAGAGCAGAGCTTAGGCGGCGACTGCCAGCCCTGCACCCCCTTCTCCTAGGCACCCCGAGGCCGGCTACCCCTGTGGGGCAGCTAACAGAGCTCAGAGGCTCCTTTCTGGGTGACGGGTTTGGGGTCAAGCCCCTAATGCCCGGGGCAGGAGGGCAGAGGGCAGTCTGAGCCCTCGGTCCACTGGCAGGGGACAGGGCAGGAGGGAGCCGTGGCCGTGTTGGGCCAGGGAAGGACTTCAGGCGACACTTTCCTTCTGGGGAGACACCTGGAGAGACCCTGACATCCAGAAACACGGCTCCCCCTTGAAGGAGGAGGATCCCCCATGGCTCTCTGGCCTTTTCCCAGTAAATAGCATCAACGTCTGAATTGCTAAAAAATACCATTTTCTTGGGCATACTTCCTTTTCCTTTCGCTGTCCAGGGTAATGCGGAACCAGGGTTCCGCATCGCTGAAGGCTGCAGTTAGCACAGCTCGTGTCACAAACAGATGACTTAGGTACCAGAGTCCAGCACTGCAGAGGCATCCTGGCTCCCTTATGGTTTTCTTAATGACATTTTCTATCTGGCTTATTTCATTGCAACAGGTATGTCACACAGTACCTAATCCAAAATAGGTTAATCAACTGTGATGGTCAAGCAACGAAATAACATAACGACGTTATGGGTAAGACTTCCAGTTAGTGGCAGACTCTTGGTAGGTAAGTTTTGGGGGCGTCAGAATTTATGGGGATTTCTGATTGGGGTGAGGAGTGCCCCAACGCCCAGGGGCGTTGTGGCCCACTGTGCTGCTGCTAGCCACAGCTATTTTGTGCTCAGGAGAGCCTGACACCTGCATGCGTTCGCTGTGGTCAGGGGAGTCTCCCAAGCGGTGGCTTCAACAAGATCCACCTGTTCAAGAAAGCGTCCAAGGGCTGGACCCCTCATCCCTGGCCGGGCCTGGGGCTCGGCTTTTTGTGAGAACCCCAGGGAATTCTTGACACAGGGCCACCCGGGAAACACTGCCCTTGCCTAAACCCCGAGGGCGGCTCCCAACGCCCACCCTCATCCCTTCCCTGGCAACTTGGGCATCTGTGGACCGCATCCGTCGGCCCTCCCCTCTGTTGCTCGCTGGTGGCGATGCCCCGCCGCCTCTGAGCCCGGGTGCCCGCTTTCGCCCGCCTTCGCCCCGGCTCGCAGCCCTGCACCCCTGCACCCCTTGCTCGCCTAGGAGCGGCCGCCAGACCCTCCCGAGCCCCGCCCCCGGCCGAGCCCACCTGCCCGCCTGCGACTGCGCTCTGCACCCGCGCCCCGCCCCCACCGGCGACCTGCGCAGAGCGGCCGCGGCCCAGGTCCCCGCCATCCCCGCCGGCGGCGCCCCAGCCTTTCAGCATTCGGTGGCGAGCGGGGCTGTGGCCTCCAGGTGGGCTCTGAGAGGATGAAGCAGGTAGGGCCCCGGGATGCTGGGGATGGGGTGGTGGCGGCGAGAAGGGGAGGAGCCTGCGGGGGCGCCGCGGGCCCCGGGAGGAGGGGTGCCCAGGCCCCGGCCCAGGGGACTGCCGGACCCCCAGGGCAGGGGCGAGGGGAAAGCCTCCGGTCACAGCCTGGGGTGGGGAGGGGCGGCAGCTGGGAGCCGGGGTGGGGATGTGCGCGGGTGAGCTGCCCCTTGGGTGTTCCCCAGGCCCTGGTGGACGACACGGAGGATGTGTCCCTGGACTTTGGCAACGAAGAGGAGCTGGCCTTTCGGAAAGCCAAGATCAGGTGTGTCCAGACGGGGAAGGGCCGGCAGCCCCGATAGCTGCAAATGCCTTCACATCGCCTGGCCCTGTCATTCAGGCGAGGGGGCCCTGGACCTACTGGGGGGCAGGCACTGGCTAGGGACACGCCCTGGACCGGTGGAGCAAGACCCCTGACCGCGAACTTGGGGGTGTGGGGGATGGTCAAGAGGGGAACAAACCCCAAACAGGCGAAGACAGGCACTAACAAGCTAATCAGAGTGGAAGCTTGGGAAGAAGGGTAGCGGGACCATGAAAGAGACAGGAACTGTGCCCCCCCCCACAACCTTCCTGCAGCCTGGGAGGGCTTCCCTGAGGAGGTGTCTCTGCTTGGAGACCTGAATCATAAAAGCAGCCAGCCCTGCTTGACTCAGAGTGATCCCGGAAGAAAGGAGCAGCAGATACGGACACCCAGCCCCTACTCTGTGGGAAGGCGGGAGACAGGCCTGGGTCTCTGGTCCTCTGGGCGGGGAGGTGCCCTGGAAAATGCCCAGAGAGGTGGGCGAGGGGTTGCATTTTTATTCTTAGCCCTGGTTCAGCTTCTCCCAGACATAGTGCTCTGGGTAAGGTCAGTTGCTGGCCCGAGACCTGCTGCATCCAGAGGGTGAGTGGGGATGGTGAGGGGCGACTCTCAGATGGCTGCTGGGGACCCAGCAGCTGCCACAGGGAGATGCCCAGTGCCCAGCCACGCCCCTTGCGCCTGCCTATTGCTCCTTCCAGCCCAGAGCCGGCAGCTTGCGCCTGGCACCCTAAGCTTCCCTTTCACATTCATTGATTTGCATCCAGCCAGCCCCAGAATGGAACAGGCCTGAGCTCCTTCCCCGGCTGCTGTCCACACTCTCCTGGTTCTGGAGGCCAGAGCCCAAGATCAGTTTTCCTGGGTGGAAGCCAGGGCGGGGGCGGGGGCAGGGCCACGGCCTCTGCAGGGCATCACAGGGGAAATGAGAGCTGACTCCAGCGCCTGTGGCTGCGGGCTCGGCCTTCCGGCCTCCCCGGCCTGCCCCGAGCACCGCTGGGCGGCTCTCCGCTCCATTCCAGTGTCCGGGTGCCTTGCACCCCGTGCTGCCTCCTCCTTAGGGTGCGCCCGTCACCCGGCGCCTCCCGTCTCGAGACTCTTCCTTGAACCCGCCTTCAGAGTCCCTTTCGTCACATAAGTTAGCTCGCCCAGGTTCCAGGGTCAGGATGTGGGTGTCAGGGGGCTGTTATTCTGCCTGCCGTGGGATCAATGATCGTCTTAAGAGCTGGAATCTTCCAGAGCATCGACACCCATGACAGTCCCGTCTTATTAAGTACCCACCTGTGTGCCCGACTCTGGGCTGGCGGTGGAGGCCTGTGGGTGTACAGGACTCACCCCTGCGCGTCAGAGCTCCCGCTGACCCGTGTATGGCCGGGAGGGTCGGCCGGGACGTTGCTGGCATTCGGGCCAGGTCTTCCTTTGCTTTTGGCTGGCCTGTGCCTTCCAGGCTATTCAGCTGCGTCCTGGTCTGCTCTCCCTGGGCTTGTGGGAGTGGGGGTTGGGCGTGCCTTGGGCTGGTAAGGCTGTTTTCAGTGCTGCAGTTGGCAAAAGCTCAGACACTTACACTAGTCTGTAAGAGCTGTAGAGCAAGTGACAGCTAATCTGAGGCCTGAGGATGGATGGGGAGTTAGCTAAGGAGGGAAGGAGTGAAGGGGGTCATGCAAAGGCTTGGGGTATGTTCATGAGTTTAGGGTCTTGGGCTCAAGACCAGGGGTCTGGTGAGCAGAGGCTGGGGTCACAGCCTGAAGTTTGGGGGCCATACTGTCTCTAGAACTTTCTGAAAGGATGAGGAAATACCACATCTTCTCTACCCTATAGGGAGCCATCAGCCACACAGCTACAAGACACTCGCTATACAGCTGATGTGACTGATGGAACTATTTGGATATTTCATTTTAATTAATTGTGATTTAACTAGCTACATGTCGCTACTGTATTGGACAGTGCTGTTCTAGAGTTGGGATTTACACAGGGCAATGGCGGGACCAGACTGCAGGACTGTAGGGGCAGAAGGAAGCAGGGAGCGGGAGCTGGGGGCTTGGGCAGGCTGCTGGCAGGGTGACGGAGACAGGGCAGGGACACAGAGGAGGTGGGCTCAGCCGCTGGCCTAGCTGGGTGGTCCCGGCTGAAGCCCAGACCCAGGCCTAGTGGCCCGGCTGAAGGCACACTGCCGGGGAAGAGGCGCGAGCCCTGGGCGGCCTAGCCAGGTTGTGGTGGAATGTTCTAGCACCAAGGTTTGTGGGCAGCTGGGAAGGAGGCGAGCAGCTCGGGTCACAGGCTACGTTCTGAGAGCTGGGAGTGGCTGCTGTTTGAGAGCCCGCGGCCAGAAATCCTCTGGTTTGCCTAATGCAGCGTCTGGGCCCAGCGGGGACCTACTTACCAGAGTCACAGGAGATGTGAACTTAAACCAGCACCTCTCACACAGTCGGATGCTCAAGAGTATAGAGATGAAATCCTGAGAACTGATGAGCTTTCCTGGAAAGCAGGGTAGAAAGGGGGTTCTCAACTGAGTCCTGTGGTTGAACTGCAGGGAGTACAGGAATCCCCTTAGAGACCATGGAAACCATTATCTAAGTTTCATATGTGTGCTGCTCCAGGGAAAGCACTCAGACTTCTATCAGATTATCAGATGGGTTGGTGAGCCAAAAAAAATTAGGACTCATGAAGACAGAGTGGGAATTGCTTGTAAATTCAGAGCGACCTTGATTGGAAGTGACACCATGGAAGGGATGAAACAGGAAGTCAGGCCACTTCCTCCTTGCTGGTTGGTGATGTGACAGGTCACCTGGCCTTGTGCTTCCAGTGACCCCTCTGCGAAATGGGATAACTGTAGCAGCTGTACAACGTGGTTGCTATGCAACCAGTAAATATTTCCCCCAAATCTGCTGCGTAGCTGCTGCTGGCCAAGCCCAGGCGACAGGGACCTGGTCCAGTTCCAGGTCAGTGCCGTGGAGGGCTCCCTGGGGGACATCAGCCACGGTGGTGCGCCACAGCTCACCTGCGCAGGTAGAGGAACCGTTAGCTGTGCTCTCTGTCTCTGGTTTTTCCCCCAGTGGGGTGCCTTTTTCTTACTAGCTTTTTCACTCTGAAAAAAATAACCGCAACATAAACTTTGCCACTATTAACCATTTTCAATGTATATTTCAACAGTGCTGAGTATAACTGTGTTCTGGTGGAACACATCCACAGAATTTTCTCACCTTGCAAACCTGAAACTCGATGCCCTTTAAACTACTTCCAGTCCCACCCCCCGCCCGCCCCCTACCCCTGTAACCACCATCTACGGTCTGTCTCTGTAAATTAACAACTTTAAATGCTTCATGTAAATGGAATCATACAGTGGCTGCCTTCTGTGGCTGGCTTACTTCAGTTAACGCAACGGCCTCGAGGTCCAGCCATGTTGTAGCAGGTGTCAGAGTCTCTTTCCTTTTGCTGGCTGAATACTATTCCTCTGTGTGGATGGACCGTGTTTTGCTCATCTGTTCACCTGCTGATGAGCTTGGGTCGTTTACCTATTTCAGTGACGCCGCAATGAACAGGGATGTGCCAACATCTGTCTGGGGTTCTACTTTCAACTCTTGATATACACACAGAAGTTGAACTGTTGGGTCATACAGTAATTCTCCTTTTTAAATTTTGAGGAACTTCCATCCATTTTCCCAGACGATGGCTCCATTTCACAATCCCATCAGCAATGTACAGGGATTTAATTTCGCTACTCCCTCACCAGCACGTGCTCTTTGATCTTATCCTCGTCAGCCATCCTGATGGAAGTGTGCCTTCTCATTCTCTAACGATGAGTGATGCTGAATATCTTCTCAGTTGCCTGTTGACCATTGGTATAGGGCCTTTGGAGAAATGTCTGTCCAGGGCCTTTGTAAAGTCTGTTTTCTATTTGAATTATTGGATTGTTGAGTTGCAAGTGTTCTCTACATGTTCTGGATAGTAACTCCTCATCGGATATATGACTGCAAATATCTTCTCCAATTCCATAGCTTGCCTTTTTACTGTATTGTTTCTGTCCTTTGAGGTACAAAACCATTTTAGTTTGATGTCTTTCTACTTGTCTGTTTTTACTTTGTTGCTTGTGTGCTTTTGGTATTATAGTATGTGTGTTTAGCTGGAACCTCATTCACATATCATAAATTTACTCTTGAAAAGTGTACATTTCAGTGTAGTTTTTAGTATATTCACAAGGTTGTGCAACCATTATTATCTAGTTCTGGAAAGTTTTCATCAGCCCAGTGGAAACCATGTCACCGCTTCAGCAATCACTTCCCGCCCCTCACCCGACCCCCAGACCAACTCTAATTTACTTTCTGTCCCCATGAGTCTGCCTGCTCTGGACACTGCATATAAAAGGAACCATGTGCCACAGAGCCTTTTGCCTGACTTCTGTCACTTAGCATGTTTTCAAGATCCAGACATGTTTGGGCCTTTACCAGAGCTTTATTCTTTTTATGGCTGACTCATAGTTCACTGTTATGGATGGAGCGGCTTTTGTTTATTCACCCGTAAGTTGATGAACATTGTTTACATGAGTAACGCTGCTGTGAGCACTGGTGGCCATGCTCGTGTGCACATAGTCCTCTCAGGCATGAGCCGGGAATGGAATTGCTGGGTTATGGCTGCCGACAGCTTCAGCTGTGCTGTCTTCTGCAAGCGCCTCTGTGAGTATGCTGGGCTTCCAGCCTCCTTGGTTTCCGGGTTAGACAGGCCCAGCGCTGCCTATTGACATCACCATCTCCAGCCTGCTGCAGTTACCAGACTGACTGCAGACAGCTCCCAGACACATCCAGGCACCAGAGTTTGCTCACTCAGACAGGGAAGGGACAGTGCTTTCCGCTTAGCAGGGAAGACCCAGCAGCTCCCCAAATGCCCCAGTTCCTCATGCCCTTCCCCTCCCTGGGTCAGGTTGGCCTCCTGGGGCAAAACCCTAAGTGCCCCACCAGCCTTCTCTGTGGTTCTGT